AAAAAAAAAAAAGTTCACCCTCTGGATCCTTAAAGCCAAAAGTTTAGCAAGTGCGCCGGCTGAGGAGCAAGTACAGGGACCGTGTCAGAGCACCGTGCAGCCCCAACGGGCAGCTCCGCGCTCCTTCCAGACCATTCCTTCCTTTTCAAGCCGTGAGCTTCCCAGGTTACCGCCAGGTTTAAATCAGTTGGGCACAAGGCAAATAGTCCTTTAACTTGCACTGCCTTTCCTCCCCCATTCAGCTGTGTCCCGAGGCTTCTGAAGAGACAGGCTTAAACCGTCTATAAAAATTTCAGCGCTTAGGCTCCAGAAAGCCCAGTCCCACATGCTGGGAAACCTCCATATTGGAAAACAGGGAGTCTTTTAAGTTTTGAATATTTTCTCAGTGTATGGGAGTATGGAACAGAAAAACAGAGTTCTCTTAATCTGTTCAGAATGAGGGGCTACTGTAGGGGAAATAGGAGACCCCAGCTGGAGACAGGTGTGGGCTCCCAGAGGCAGGTGGGCATCATTCACTTAGATGTGCTATTGATTACCCATGAGGCTTTTTCACTGCAAGACTATCTGGCACAAACAAAAGATAAAATAAAAAGGATGAGGCACTAAAGATTTCAGAAATTCAACATGCCCTCCACCCCCACAGGCCTTAAAATACAAGTAAAACTGGAGGTTCCTCGAAACCTGGGGATCAAATACACCCCAAATGCAACAAGACATCAAGAAATCCCCTGACATTCCATAGCAACAAGCAGAGACATCCAGTCCCCAAAATCAATCCCACGATCGACTCGCCCGTCCATCACAGGCAACCACATTCTGAAGGGCACAGGAAGGACAGAGAGAAAATGAAGGAGATTAAAGTGGCTTTGGGTATTTTTTTTTATCACAACGTATTTGTCTGCTCCCCTCTTGTTGAAAATTTTAACCTAGTTTACTGTTTTGACAAATACTATCAAGAATCTAGTTATTTCCCTGAAGATAATTAGGCATTTGATTTATTCTCCTAGCAGTTATTTCTTTCTGGGGCCTGCTTCTCTGCCACAGCACAGACAGAAGCTCAGAGCTTCTGAGTTTGCCAGGTAACATTGTTTCTGCTTGCTGCTAGATGCTATAAAGACCAAATCCTTTTCTGCCGGAAAGTGTAGCCCGATCTATTATGGTTATTCATGAAGCTGTTTTTCTAGTGCATGATTCATTAACCTGCACGTTGCCCGTAAGGAACTTGTAGGTACTCAGGGTTACTCAGGCTCATTTTCACCTCCAGGAGCAATTCTCTAGGCTTTCCTCCCAGGCTGCATTACCCACATGCCAGTGTGGGACAGTAACAGCGTGCCAAGGAGCATGGGCAGAGGGCGCTTGTGGACACCCGGCCAGAGAGGCCAGCGATCACAATGGGATATTCACAGGAGCGAAGGCTTGGTGGCTGCCTCCCTGCCTGCTGGTCTGCTGTGAGTCTGGCCCCCTGGCTCAGTGTGAAAGGCCTGTCAAATACACAGGAGCAGACAGAAGTACAAAGGGTTGGGAATATGGCTTCATGTTGAGGGCTCAGGAATAGTGGGGTTAGGTTGCCTCATTTTCAGTTTCTCTACCTGCTTCTATAAACCTATTTCTTCTTGCAAGCTAGGTCAGTGAAACTCTGCTGTTAGTCATCTGCAAGGCCAAAACTACACCTCCAGAAACTAGCTCTGCCTGATCCTGGGGTTGGGACCACCTACATGCACCCTGCATATCAGCTGTTACCTCAATAGCCTCCCTGATGATGATTTGTAAATGACTTGGGTTTCTTTCTTTATAAAAGAAATTAAGGAAGAAAGGGAGAAAGAAGGGAGAAAGGGAGAGAAAGAGGGTGATAGAAAGAAAAGAAAAAGCAGTTCAGTTGTTACAGAAACAGATTTCATGCCACATCAGCTCTTCTCCCTCACTCCACCCTCTTTTTTTCATGGTCCCTTCTCTCTGCTCAACTGGATTCCAGCTTCAGGTATAAAAAGAAAGCGTCCTACACCCTACCATACTGTGTGGTCCCTGAGAGAAGGCTCACTGTGCAGGTGACTGCTCCTCAGGCCTGAACAGCAGGAGCAGTCGCAGTGAGGCCAGCAGATGGGGGCGGAGCTTAGCACACTATAAGGGCGCATGTCCAGAGGGCGCATGTCCAGAAGGCGCATGCCAGGGAAGGCAGGTGCGCCCCAAGGATGGATGAAGGAGGCAGACCGCTGCCCACAAACTCATGGCGCTCAAGTATAAGACACCCTTCAGTGACCTCTGAATTTTAGGGGGAATATCAAAGGCTACTTCTCTCTGGAAACTAGCCCCAGACAACTTGTTTGTTTCCCTGGGAGGGAGTCCACATTACCTTAGAAGTGGTAATAGGTCTAATTGGGTGTAAATAGATTTACTGCCATCTGAGGCCTGTTAAGCAGAGGTAGGGAAGCTTGAGAAACAGGGTTGCCATTAGCAAGGTTGAATCATGGCAAGAACTCTGGCTCTCCCACAAAATGCCCTCTGAAATGGAATGGGATCAAACCCAGTGTGGCATTTGTTAAGTTCTTTACAGAGTAACTGCCCCTCATCATGATGATCAAATCTGATTTAAAAAAAAAACAAACAGCATAAATCCTCTTTTGAATGCATACCTTCAATATATATTTATTAGGAATTACAGAAATGTTCTAGTGTTTTAACATA